TAGAAAACTCACAAACAAGTAACATTAATTGCACAATATTATATCAATAAAATAAAATTAAAATATGTAAGAAAAATAAGACAATAAATCTATTTGAATAATTATTCATTGTATCCTAATAATAAATGAAAATAGTATTACTAATATCAAATTAGCAAAATTAGATGTAACTCTGAAACATCTCTGATGTTAATTTAGTATTTTAATCTTCACGGAATAAAATAATATATTTTTCAAAAATATTTTCCTTTTCGCGTGGAAAATGATCTAAACTATACAACTTAAAAACTGATTGTAACAATGAAATATAAAAAATGTAAACTATTTAAAACCACACAAGTAAAATTAAATTTTTTTTTTTTTTTTAACAAAATAATAAGTGTATCTAAAGGGGAAATGTTTTAAAAAGAATATGATTTGTACTTTTCATTCCTCAGTATTGTTGTTAAATTTTCAATAAAATGCATTTCCTATGAATTTCCTTCCTCCTCTTCTTCCTTTCAAAGTTCCTATATACTACATGTATTGGAAGTTGCAATCGTTATGCTAATTTTCGGCAAAAAATGTAAAGATATTTTTACTATTATTAAATAGTAACACTTTTTCTTTCTTATTCTATATGAGACAAAGTTTAAATTGAAAAATTATATTATAAGTATATAAAAGTAAACTTTTGATTTCAGACAACAAAACCTATTCTTAATAGGTTAAAATACATTATATAAAATATTATGTAAAACGCTGTACGAAGACAAATTTTGTAAATTTTGATTGCGCGTATATAAAATAATTAAAAAAAAAACATAACAGAAGTAAAAAAATAGGCCAATATTTCTATTCTTTCATTAAGTACAGAAATGGTATGGCTATCACTTTGTTTCTTTTTTCTTTTCTTTCAAACATCTGATACAATAATAGCACATAATTCAATCATGTCAATGATGAAATATTTTGTATCGATGATACGTATGGTATGTTTTGTTTGTCTACCATTTCGGTACTTAATTGTAGTTTAAAAGTGATAAAAGGTGAAAACGTACCATTATATTACACAGATCTGTTAATGTATTATTTCATATAAAATTAGCAAAAGATATAGTTTGCAAATTTAACGTTACACTCTCTTCAAAGGTGCTTATTCAAAGTTTAAGCAAAAATGCATTCTCTTATTTGAATGTTAAATCTACTCTATAAATACAAAGAGTAGTTGTTAGTTACTTGATAACGTCATTTCTTAGTAAATTTGATACAAAATAAGGCTCATAGGTACTTTTAACACCTTTTGCCACAATCAAACCACACAAAATTGGACCACCTCTTTCCATACTTCCAGTGAATTAGAAGAGGAAAAGGGTGGTCTGCCTTGCTTGCTACTTGGTCGCCTCGGGTGGACAGTCAGGCTGGTTATTAGGGTGAGCAGCGGTGAAAGCTGGATGCCCTTCTAAATGTCTATCTACCCTTAAAATAGTTGGAAATGGTCTTAAATCAACATGAAACCTTCTGGCATTGAAAATTTGTGGTACCAAACAACAATCTGCTAATGTTATTTCATCTCCTACACAATATTTTCCTGCACTGGAAGACAACAATTTTTCTACAGCTGTAAAAGAAAGAATTTATATTATTTTATTAATACTTTTTGTTTCTTTATTTTTACAAATATAACCATAACAACAATACTAATAATAATAATGATAAGATATCTCTTTAAATCACTGACCTGTAAAACCTCTCGTTATCCAATGTTGTGCCCACTCCTTTTTACGTTCTTCACCGACATATATCAAGACAACTAAATTCTGCAAAGGTTGAATACCACTAGCTATGACTTCACAAATCTCTCTAACTCTAGCTCTTTTGACAGGATCAGCTGGCATCAGTGGACGATGTGGTCTAGTTTCTTCCAAATATTGTAATATATTTAGCTAAAATAAAAACACAAATATAAATATATCAGCGTCAAGATTCTTTTTAGTTGTATCATCAATTACAGAGAATAACTTGTATAATTTACTTAATACTTACAGATTCTATCAATGTATGATTGTCGATATGAAGTGCAGGCACTTGTTCCATTGGGTTTATTTCACGGAACTCATTACAATGTTGTTCTCCCCCACCTTTCACTAGGCTCACAGGTTTAATGTCATAAGGTATTTCCTTTAAATTTAATGCTATCAACAGACAAACAATATATTAGATAAAAGTTAATTGATGGAACATTGTCAATGTATTACTCATATACTCTTTATTTATTTATTTCATTAATATAATTAATAATAAAAACAACAATACATTTAAATACACACGTATTATACAATTAGTATATGTTACTGTAAATATTTAAAAATAACAGAAAGCAAAAAAGGGTATAATTATATATAAAGTTAAATATTTAATTTATCTTACCAATTCTCACTCTCCAAGAACAGGAGCTCCTCCAATAGGAATAGAGTACCGGCTGTAATAAAGAGAAAAAAAATAAAGAAAAAAAAAGGACAAGATATAAGAATTTTTTACTCTTTAATTATATTTAACTATCTTGAAAGAGATATCAGTAACCAATACAGGCATACAAGAGATAGCTCGAGGACCGATCAAGAGAAAAAGAGTAAGAGAGAAAGCAAATTTATATTGGAATAAGTGACTTAAACAAATTAATCATATAAGATAATCATATTTGATAATTAAAAAATAAATGAATAATAAATACAAACGACAAATTAAAAGTAGTTAAATACATATTAATACTAATCGAAGGACATAACACACAGGCCTTGAGAAATATGAGATAAAAGGGGAAGGGAGTTTAGTATGAAAGCGATCACGAAAGATATCAAAAATTTTGAATAATTTACTCACCTTACCCATGACGGACATCTCGTCGTATCAGGACGATCAGGTATCGTCTTTATTTTCAAATGCTATTTAAGCAAGTGGATTAAAAGACGCACCTTAGCTCTCGATTCTATCAGAAACAACTCGGAATCCGGTCAACGCGCGAAATCGCTCCTCCTTCCCCCCTTTTATTCGATTGCCAGGCAACCCGTTCCACCACCTTCAATATAAACCGGGTGCTTGTGTAGCCCACTCTTGGGCTACCAAGTGCGAGCCAATCAATGATCACCTTTCCGATATGATATCATATAATAGGTCGAAAAAGCATTCGCGGTGTCTACCAATCCCCCTCGCGCATTCTCTAAACTAAATTTATATGCGATTCTTTTTATATTATCTTCATCTTATTATGTACCTTACGGATGAAATCTATGATATTCTAATAAATTTCATCGAATTTTCATTTATTTTATATTTTTATATTTTCAAATAAATGATAAATGTAATATATCAAATTTATAAAGGATAGTATTTCCTTTCTTTTTTCTTTTTATTTAATATACACAAAATTATGCTTCCATATAACGATCCAATCGCGTGTTTCTCTTTTAATGGCAAAAGTTTAAATGCGATCGAATTTATGTTCATTTTTTGTTTTGTTTTGTTGCAAATAAATTAATTTTTAAATTTGAGTTTTTTATAAATTGAAATTATTTCTTTCACTCACTAATTATTAATATTTATAAGTAAATATATTTATTTATTAGATTTACATATGTTTTAGTTTTAAAATTTATACAAATATTATTACTATTATTATTATTATTATTATTATTATTATTATTATTATTATTATATATACACACTATATACCCATGACGGACATCTCGTCGTATCGTCAGGCATATATATATATATATATATATATGTTACTTAATACTATATTGATTTTTCTATTAAAATAAAATTTAATTTGGTTCATTTTCTGGCGGCAGTTTTAAATAATTCACAAATAACTTATGTTAAAACACTTTATTGATTTTCTATCATCACTTTTGCTTATTTTCATATATTTTTATGTTAACATTTTACATAGAACAAATCAATAAATTTTTACTATAGAGAAGATATTTCATAATTACTTAGCTTTTATCTTACTTAGCATTAATGATTCTACTATGTAAATAACTTTTATTACGTACTTTTTTTTATCGATAAAAAAATATTAATATTTAACAGTACGGCTATAAATTTTATTTTATAATTCAGATGATTACAGGAGAAAAACTCTAATTATAATATTGATAAAATTGATTTATTATTGATTTATTTATAAACTTGAAACATTCTAGTAGATCAGTCGTTTATTACAAATTATATTTTCATATAGGATTATATTATCTAAAACAACGTATAATAATATAATTATAAAATATATAACAATTTTATATTATATACAACACAAATATATGTATTATAGGATTATATAAACTTATGTTAATTTAGATGTTCTACCAATGAGACAATAAATCTTTATTTTTACTTCAGGTAATTTGCTTTTTTTTCCACATCAGTCTTTTATCATACCTAGGTATTTTGTCAAATCCTTGGATGGAATTACTGCTCAGTTTATGGTCCCAGGAGAGAAAAAACAAGAGTACTTAAGTAGTGCGAAAATTATGTGAAAAGATTTACTTTTATTTTGTACGTTATTACGATATTATTATTTTCGTTCATACTACTTCTGGCAGCCAACTTTTTATTATTTGTATATGACGTTAGGAACATATCAAAACACATTTTGGTAATCACAGTCTTGATGCTACATATAAAAACGAAACTAGAAATTTAATTAAACATTAAAATAAATTCTATTATATGTCATTATAATTCACTATATTCACTAAAAGGTGGTTTTTCAATCTTCATTCTTTGATCTTCTTCTTTCTAATTTAAAAATGTTGATGAATATTAAATTTTATGTCATGTATTTTTAAATAAGTGACTTATTTGAATATATTTTATTAAGGATTTTGAAGATACTTCTGTAAAAAAAAATAGAAATGTAAAAAAAGAAAATAGGAAAGATATATTCATATTAATAATAATAATAATTGAGAAAAAGTTAACAAAATTTATGAACGTTTAAGGGTTCATTCTGGTTTATACGCTAAAAAAAAGGCTATTTTCACAATTTTTTTTAGGCTTAGTAAGATGCATATACGTATGAAAGTTGTTGAGTATGCTAAATACACTCTAGAAGTAAGAGAGAAAAATTATTTTTTTGTTTTTAACATATTTTGAAATTCAAAATGGCTGACAAACGTGAATCCTCAAAAAGTAGGTATGCTGTTGGTGGGCATCGAAATTTGAGAACGGTTGATCTAAAACAAAAAAATTAAACGGTTTTAAATTCAGTATGACAATGGCTATCGGGTATGCTACACTATCAACAATTTTTATGAAAACAAAACAAAATGACGGCCACTTTTCGAGAAAAAAAATCGTTGATTTTTTCGCACTTTTTTGCAAAAAAAAATATAGTAAAAATTAATATTTTGACTTGGTTGTAGCATGCGAGATAGCCATTCATGTGTAGAGTATGTAGTTAAAATTTCAATCGGTTAAGTAGTTTCGGAGATATCATGCTCGACAACCAAAAAAACGTTGTTTCGAGAAAACGCGTTTAAAGTTTTTTTTTTTGGTTTAATTTTTAAAAAGTCTGACTTTACCTTATTCTGCGATGCCTGCACCATACAGTATGCCTTCTGCTTCTTCAAAATACTCATTATCTTCCACTCTAGCCTTTTTTCGTTGTGTCCTGGCCTCTTTTAAGGATTCTCCGTTCAAACGATTGGCTGAACGCACACGCGTGTTGTCGCGGTTACTAGCGTAATTAACTGCGATAGGGCCAAGTTTTATCCCCAAAACCCCAGTGAGATCTTCAAGTAAGATTTTCAAGTAAGATCTTCAAGTAAGATCTTCAAGTAAGGTCTTCAAGTAAGGTCTTCAAGTAAGGCATTCAACCCACATAACATAAAAACTTTCTAAAACATTTCTTGAAAAGCTTTAAACCTTTCAAAAAGGTTTCTAACAAATCTTTCTATAAGGTGAAAATGTCCGCGTTAAGAGACTTTCAAAAGATTACTCTATCAGTAAAATATTTTATAAATGTTTTAAAAATATATTTGTAAAATCTTTTATGAATCTTTTTCAAAATATTTTAGAATGATGCCTGCAAGGTTTCTGAAAGATTTTTTGGAAATATTTTACGAAACTTTCGCTGCAAAATTTCAAAACTTATCGTGTTATGTGGGAAGTGAGGTCTTCAAGTGAGGTCTTCAAGTGAGGTCTTCAAGTGAGGTCTTCAAGTGAGGTCTTCAAGTGAGGTCCTTAAGTGAGGTCTTAAAGTGAAGAAATGTTTGTGACCATTTGTGCGGTGATATGGATCAAGACACGTAAAGTAGACGGATGATGCAAATGAGTTAACGTGAACAAAAGTTTAAAATTTTATAAATGTTTTTTATAAATGCTGGAACTCTCCTATGATGAGGTCGATGTCTTTTCAGTGAGGTCTTCAAATGTTTAAGCAAAAGTTAAAAATTTCATAAATATTTAACCTTTTGAGCGCTATGAACGCATATATTTTAAAATAAAAATTCAGTCTGTTAAACTTGTGCTCTTTTGTAAAAAAATATGCAGCCCATGATGTGTTTCTTCATAAAAAAAATAGACAATCCACAGAGTGTTTCTTCATAAAAAGCGGGCAGACAATGTTGGACAACGCAGCATTCAAAGGATTAATTCTATGATGAGTTCGGTGACTCTTCAATGAGGTCTTCAAATAAATAAATCCTCAAACTTTAACAAGGAGACATTACAGCTACCTACCTTTCTTCAATCGATTGGATACCTTGAACACGTGATAAAAAAATATCTGTAAAAAAAAATAAAAACAAGTTTGTTAGTTAATCAAACTCATTAAATAAAATGCTATGTAATAATTCATATGATTTGGTACAAACCTTTTAGAAAGAAAAAATATACTGTTTTGCTGGAACTCTGCATTTCCTCCAAGATTGGATATTCGGGTCCTTAATTCTTTCGCTACGAACGGTGACTTATAGTCACCCGTGATGTTTCGTGAACAGAGAGTATATTTGCAATCGTTATGGTTACCCATTTTGCATTTGTTTTGAACTTTATGCATATCTTTGAAACTGTCTATATAAAATTACATCATTAAAAGCTATATTTTAATTACATTATGTGTTAATTTTTCTGATATCTTTTCCAGGCGATTACAGATGTTTCATAAGTGCACATTTTTGACACTACAGCTCATTCAGCAGAAATAGTAGCGTGTCGAAAAATCGGTTCGTAGCGAAAGGGTTAAGAAACGATAATGAGGATGATAACCTGTGATGTTGAATTTCTGAATAATGAGGTCTTCAAATAAATGTTCAAACTTTAACAGGGAGACATTACAGTTATCTTCCTTCAATTAATTGGATACCTTTAACAAGTGATAAAAAGTATCTGTAAAAAAATAAAACAAAGTTTGTTAGTTAATCAAATTCATTAAATAAAATGCTATGCAATAATTCATATGATTTGATACAAACCTTTTAGAAAGAAAAAATATGCCGTTTTGCTGGAACTCTGCATTCCCTTAAAAATTGAATATTCGGGTTCTCAAAAAATGATGATGATGAGGATAATAATCTGTGATGTTTAATTTCTGAATAAATAGTAGAACTCTTAGTTGTTTTCGTGAGGTCTTCGCGTAGTCTTCAAATATCTGCTGATTAGACGTGATCATAAAGGCGTCTAATCAGGGGGGGATGCTCTTTAAGAACATTGACACTGCGTAAAAGAGCAAACCTCTGCGAATATCCTAAAGAAGGATCATTCGAGCAATAATTTTTGGTAGTGTATTTTAAATGATAAATAACCGTTTTAGTGCCGGGGGTTTTTAAAAATCTTTGTCGGAGTGTGTCATGAAGCGTGATAGCGCATTCGTCATTTTTCTGCGAATTATGCCGATCGACCCGGTCGCGTTGCTAAAAACATATATTTCTGTATAAAGCGTGTTGCGAATTGACAATCGCGAACAAAATTAGTGAAACGTTTTACCACACCACTCGAAAACCGCGATCGCGTCGTGCGGCACTAAACGGATAAACAAAAATACTTCAATTAAGATTTTAAATATTTGAAAAGTTCTAACATTTAAATAAAAGGAAATCAATAATAGAGCGAAAGTTTAAAATTTCACGAATGTTTAATCCTATGATAAGGTCGATGACTCTTCGGTGAACTCTTCAAATAAAGTCTTCAAATAAAAAAATGTTTAAGCAAAAATTAAAAATTTCATAAATGGTTAAACTTTTGAGCGCTATGAATGCATATATTTTAAAATAAAAATTCAGTCTGTTAAACTTGCGCTCTTTTGTAAAAAAAATATGCAGCCCATGTGTTTCTTCATAAAAAATATGCAGCCCATGATGTGTTTCTTCATAAAAAAAATAGACAACCCACAGTGTGTTTCTTCATGAAAAATAGACAACCCATAGTGTGTTTCTTCATAAAAAGCGGGCAGACAATGTTGGACAACGCAGCGTTCAAAGGATTATAATTCTATGATGAGTTCGGTGACTCTTCAATGAGGTCTTCAAATAATAAATCCTCAAACTTTAACAAGGAGAAATTACAGTTATCTTCCTTCAATCGATTGGACACCTTTAACAAGTAATAAAAAAATATCTGCAAAAAAATAAAACAAAGTTTATTAGTTAATTAAACTCATTAAATAAAACGCTATGAAAAAATTCATATGATTTGATACAAACCTTTTAGAAAGAAAAAATATGCTGTTTTGCTGGAACTCTGCATTGCCTCCAAGATTGGATATTCGGATCCTTGAAAAACGATGATGAGGATGACAATCTGTGATTTTGAATTTTTGAATAAATAGTAGTAGTGCTTCCTTAATATTCAATCTTCCATGATACGATATGATATTAAAAGATTAAAACCTCTGAATATGATGATCTCATGATTCCCAATGTTAATGATGATTTTCGGGTAATAATTCCTTAATGTTCTTTTTCTAAGTGATGATTCATTGATGTCTATGCAGATGATAACTCTTTAATGTCTATGTATGGATAGTGATGATTTCTTGATATCTTGCATACGATGACTGTCAAAATAGTAGTTCGTTGATGTCCTCTCTTCAGATGGAATGATGGTTGGTCCCTCGATGTTCTCTTCCAGATAGAATAGTGATGATGATGATCTCTTGATGTCATCTCCAAAGACGAAATGATGGTGATGCTTTGATATTCTCTTCTGAGGTAGAATGATGGTCCTTTCCTACCAATTCCTTCATATCCGCTTCTTCGGTGGTGCAATTATGATGATGGTGATTTTTTGATGTCCTTCTCTTCAAATGGTAATGATGATGATTTTTTGATGTCCTCTCTTCAAATGGTAATGATGATGATTTTTTGATGTCTTCTCCTTGGATGGTGATGATGATCCCTCGATGTCTTCTCCCTGGATGGTTGTGATAATCCCTCAATGTCTTCTCCCTGGATGGTTGTGATAATCCCTCAATGTCTTCTCCCTGGATGGTGGTGATGATCCCTCGATGTCTTCTCCCTGAATAGTAGTGGTGATAATCCTTCGATGTCTTCTAGGATGGTGATGATGATCCCTCGATGTCTTCTCCCTGGATAG